GGGCATTTGTGCCCAAAAGCTGCAAAGAACAATTTTTTCCAGCTATTTAGTTTGTCGAACCTCGTCTGCCTATTTAATGTTTCTGCTTTTTTATACATCAGTTCTTTTATTTTCCTGTTTGGATGTATGCTTGCTATTATCTGAATGGATCCTTACTATTATTAGATCCATGATTATTAATGGATCTATTGCTATTACTTCCCGATACACTTATTTTCCTTCAATCTGCTGACCATCGATTTCTTCTCACGTGCTTTTCCCTCGCCAGCAGGGACGCTCATTTGTGCATGAAGTAATCTGCAGTTCTGCCTCGTCTGGAAGGAGGTATTCCCGGCATTGCAGACGTGAACAGCCAGATCTTCAGCTAGCGGTGATTGGTGTTGCCCCTACTGAATTCGGTATCCCATTCTCACACACTTGTATTCGTTTCTCTTTCTAGGCCTTGCTGAGATGTCAGGCATGTCTTACTCTGAAATAATAGTGCCTAGAAAGCTAGAAGCAAAGGATGGCATAGACAGCAAGGTAATTCTGTTTTTAGGAAAGTGGGAATTGCTCTATGGACTGTTGTCCTGCCCCAGTACAGTCAATATTATGTCTGCCAATTGCTGGCAGTAGACCGGGTAGTGTAGGTAGGGCAGTAGTTTGTTACAAGGGCTAAACAACCTGCAGAGGCAGAAGTGTTTTTCCTAGTCTAGTAGTTAGATAACAGTTTTCAAAAGCACCAGGGTTTAGAAATAAAGCTGAGCTAGTTGGAGACTTTTCTGTAGACCCATGAGCTCTCAAAATAAGCAGCCCTGTCAACACTGAAGGGCTTCAGAAAATCAGGTTGGTTTAGCTGGCACTTCGTTTTGGAGTGGTTCTTCCTTGGTCAAAACTTCCATTTCAGTCTTTTCAACAACAAATATTTCAGGTTTTCATTTTAAAACCAATCACCTTTTAATTTCAACCCCCCCCCCCCACAAACTTGTCTCTTATACTATTTTGAAGATTGAAACCTCATCTTTCAGTCACTTGAAACCTGAAGGTAGGTTTTTTTGGACTTTCCCTTTGTGAGAACTTCACTGTTTTGGGTTTTATTCTGGTTCTTAACGAGGCTGAATTAGAAATTCTCCAGGCCAAGGGTGGCCAGGCTGCAGCACTGTGAGACACGTGGGAGATGGGGGGGCAGCACAGCAACACCTAGGGCAGGAAGCTGAAGCAAAGCAGCAAATGAGGCAGGGAGCATGGGGAAGGAATGGAAAGCAGAGCAGCAGGTCAGAGGGAGCTGAGAGCAGACAGCGCAGTCGTAGATTGGGTAGGAGACAGGAGCAGGAGGTGAAATATAGATTGGGCTTCTGTCCCTAAGCATACAAGTTGACAATCCCTTCGAAGGTTTTATCTTTATTTTTGGATAAGTTTCCCCCAGGACAAAGAACCTAGTTGTGGCCCTTGGTTGCATACTCAAGGTCTCTCCAAACCATGTCTTTTTATTTAAATGTTTTCTGTCTCTTGGTGTCCCAGAGTGGGAGTGAGTGCATGGGACTTGTTTCGTCAGCAGCAGTCCTGTGTCAGAAGGGTGATGGTGTAGATGGGCCCTCAACTGACTCATCAAGGCGCAGAAAGATGGTTGCGTTCCCGCTCGAGAGTGGCTCGATTTCCTGTTGTGACAGTCGGCAGCTTGGTAAGGCCCCAAAGGCCTATCCTGGTCTGCAGCGCAAGACCCGTTCTTACAACAGACAGCAATGTGGACGGTCTTATCCGTTACTGTCATGTCAGGTTATTGCTTGATCGGACTTAGGGATGAAATGGGAGATGGATGTTCAAAAGTAGTTTGTTGCAAAGTTTTGAGGAGCTCACGATGGGTTAGGCAGTCAGTGCTATTTTTAGTACAATCGCATTATATTTCTGGTATCGTAGCTATTTTTCAATGCTTGTAGTAGATCCTATTTTTGTTAGACCCTGTTTTGTACGCGGAGAGTTCTTGCATTGTGCGCCACTGGTTCTGCGATAAAGGGATAAGTGCAAACACTTTCTAGTGCAGGTGGATATAATCATATATCGATCATCATCAAGGCCTTCCTTATCTGCAGGGATCCTGGTTTTTTCTGATTTAAAAAAAATCTCCAATTTTTGGATTAGAAAAAGGAACCCCAAATCTACATTTTCCCATGATCAAAATGAAGCACCGCTATATATACATCTCTATATTAGTGGTGTTTCATTTTAATCACGGAAAAAGGTGGATTTGGGGTTCCTTTTTTTAAATCTGAAAATTGGGGATTCTTTTAAATCGGAGAAAACCAGGATCCCTCTATCTGTCACTTTTGATGCAGTCTGCTTCCGCCATGTGAGGCTGGAGATTGCAAAATACTTTTCACTTAAGTGTGATAGTGAAAAGATGACTCTCTGGGTATTCAAACGTAGGGGCTTTGCATCAGGGAATGAATAGAAATCAAACTGCTTGTTTGCTAAGCTTGCGATGTGCTTAAAACAAAGACAAGGACCTTGGCTGAAAATCTGAAAAAGTAGAATGCAAAATACCTCCTTTGAGCTAATCATTTTGGGACCAGGTGGAAACCTCTGACTGCTGTTCGAGGAGGTAGGCGACCTGTGTTAAACAGCCGTCACTGTATTATGCCTATATGCAACTTGGTTGAGCTTGGCTAGCTGGAGTCCTGGGTATTTTTAAATACTGAATCCTGGATGTGTTTGTTGAACGGTGGTTTGAGGTCTGCAACCTCCAAATTCCCCTTTACAGTTCTTTTCAATTCAGTGGTACAGGCCTTCAACGAAGGAGCTTCCTGCTGGCATTGTATAGTGGTTCTGTAAAACTTTTTGGGTAGTGCCACATTTGTTGCCTGTTATATTTTTTATTGGCCTTTCCTTCCTCTTCTCTTGTACCTGGTAAACTCTGGTAACCACAGAGAAGGAGGGAACTTGAGAGGTCATGTAGTCCAATTCCCACCCAAACCATCCCATGCAAATCCACTAACTTCTTAGCAAAGCTGCAGGGTTGACCCTAACCTGCCCCAGGTAAAGCAGTGGGACTACAGCAGCCAATGTCCTGCTGCTGTAAAAGTTGTTGATATATGCTTGAGAGATCCCAGGAAGAGGCCACATCCCTTGCAACAGAGAAAGGCAAACCTTTGATCTGACCCTGGGGTAAAATTCCTTCCTGACCCCGTATATGCCAAATGGCCTGACTCTGAGTGGAGGAGCAAGACCCTCTGGCCAGGACCCTCCCGGGTTGGTCCCAGCAGGAGCATTGGCACAGCCCAGTCCCCATCCCCAGCCAGGGTTAGACCCAGCACCTAGCGCCTCTGGGAGAGGCTTAAAAACACCCTGGCAGCTTGGCTGAGATGATGTAGCTGGGGCTGGTCCTACTTTGAGCAGGGG